TCTCTCTCTCTCTCTCTCTCTCTCTCTTATTGTTAAATTACGAAGTAACCAAGCAGGAAATTGATATAATTTTCCTTCAATTAATCTTCTCTCAAGTAAAAAAACATCATAATCACAGTAAAATTAGTACTACAGTTCACTAATTCAACAATAAATTTGTTCAAACACATTAAAATAAATCATAATTACCCAAAATTTTTTTTTTTACCAAAATTGAGAGAGAGAATTAAATAATACCAGGACGAAATTGTTCTCGCAGCCAGGTCTCTTGGGAGAGGTATCATCTTGGTGAACAATATCACCAGCAAACACGACAGAACTGCACAGAAAAGCACAGAAAGTAGTGTAGAGAACTCTGCTCATCAGCCCCATCGAGAATAAATAATCGGAGAAATAGCTCAGTTTGAGTAAAAGAGTCAAATGGGATCTTCTTCCTTGGAAATATTATACTATTATTCAGATGTACGAATTGAAGAAAGGGGAAAGGTAGAAGAAAATGCAAAGGACTGTTTTTTATTTATTTTGATTAATTAAAAATAAAAGTTTGTTTGAGGTTGGGTACGCCATCGTTTGTTGCAACGGTTAAACTGGTTTTCAATCTTTACACTCGACGACACAAGGATCGTTGCGGAGAGAAGCGCGTGCACTAAACGCGGCTAAAAGGTACCTAACTCTCCGAGTTGGTACCTTAGCCTTTACTAATAGGGTAACGGTTTAGGGTTCGAGTCCCCCCCTCCCCTACTTCCCCTTGTAATGGACTTGAATTTACTCAAAAAAAAAAAAAAAAACGCGGCTAAAAGGTGGGTGATTGCAGAGATTTAGGGACTGGATAATTATTACATTATTATGACAATTTTTTTTATGTTTAATTAATTGAATTGCTAATTGTTGCGGGACTTTTACTGAAATTGGCTTATTTGCAGCGGTACTTTCATTTCAATTTTTTTCAACTTTCTAAAAAACTCAAAACGCTCTCAACTAAAAAAAGTCGAAAAAAAAGAATTTCACCAACCCTCATTAGGAGAGTTGGTACCTAGCCTTTACTAATAAGGTAAAAGGTCTAGGGTTCGAGTCCCCCCTCCCCTACTTCCCCTTGTAATGACTTGAATTACTCAAAAAAAAAAGAAAAAAAAGAATTTCGTGTTTGTTTGATAAATCGACTGCCCGACGATAACAAATAACATAATGGCCAATTCAGATGACTTCTACGAGATATAATCGAGAAATTAGTGAAATTTCTATTTTTTTGCGTTTTTTTTCGTGTTGTGCAGCACGAGACCCCAATTTTTTTGGGTTTCCCGTGCTACACAGAATGGGGAAATTCAAAAAAAAAAAAATCGTGCTGTGGGGAACGGGAACACCAAGTTCCCGTGCCCTGGAAGACGGAAACATGGGTTTCCCGTGCCCTAGAGGACGGGAACCATGAAAAATTTAAAAAATTATAGGTGTATTTTTTCATATTTTAAATTATAGATGTATTCGACTTAATTTAAGAAAATAATTTGAATTTTAAAAGAATAAATTAATTTTGCTTAAATTTTTCTTGTGTTGAAAAACCATGCACCAAATCCCCCTATATTACAGACAAACTTGCATAAAATCCCCTCTATAATTAACAGTGCTAACTGCTAACTTTTAACGAAAAAGAGAATTTTGTGCAAAGCAAAATAAAATACAAGGGGTCATACGCAAGAAAAAAGAAAATACGGGGCATTCGACGCAAATTTTCATTAAAAGAAGGGGTTTTGATAACATCACTAATAAATTAATACAGTAGAAAATGGAGAAAGCGCGTGGGGGTGCAGAAGAAGGTACCGGCAACCAGGTGAACCAGTAATTTATTTATGTTCCGTAATTGACCGTACAGATAAGACGGTTCCCTGATTGAATAATTATGCTAGCTAATTTAAAAATAAATAATTATATAAGTAGCAATAAGGTAGGATTCTTCATGTGTTAGTTTTAATTTTGATAATTGTTAAAATTTATAGTTAGAAATTAGTAGAGAAAAAATATTAAAAATAAATAATTACGATTTTTCATGGGTTGGTTTTAATTTTGATAATTGTTAAAAATTATAGTTAGAAATTAGTAGAGAAGAAATATTAAAAATGATAATTACAGAAATACGATTTTTTAGGGTTGCTCAGCGTTTCTTTCTTTTATATATAAGACTAGATTTTTGGCCCGTGCGATGCACGGGATTGAAGTAAAATTAATACAAAGTAAAATTCAATGTAAACTACAAAATTGAAGTTTCAATTCATTTTGGTATTTTGCTATGTATATTGATTATAACTCCCCATCCATAAACCTTTTTTGCCATATTTATTAATTGAACTTTATATTTATTATGTAATATGGGTTGTATATTTATCTTATCTCAGTTTATGTTGAAGTTTGACGAATCTTTTTCTTTATCACCCATAACGGGCTTCAGTAAATTTACTGTAAATCAATGATGCCATTAAATCTCAAGAGTTTATGAGGAACAACTTTACTTTTATTAATAAGATAAGAACCAAATATTTTTGTAAACAATTAAATAAATTTTCCATCAAATTAATATTAAGTAAAAATGACAATTTTGGTGAGAAAAAATACGTAAATTTTTGGGTGAAAAAGTCTGGATACTTAACGGATTTTATTAAACTTGATTATATTAAATATATTAAAACAATAAAATTGATTAATTAAATAAATGACAATTATAATTTATAACTATCAAATGAGTGGGAAAATTTTCATACGGTTTAGCAGGAACAACCTTACATTTATTAATAAAAGAGCAACTTTACTTTTATCAATAAGTTTTATAATCATAGTCGAGTTTATTAAATAGTAATTGGAACAATTAAATAAATTTACTTGTCCTTGTAGTCTAACACTTCCTTCAAATCCGGATTGATCAATAAGTTTGACACATTCAGAGCATTTGATAAACCCGTTTTTCCTAATTTTTATCTTGATGTGAAATAGTCAACAATATAATCTTACAAAATAAAATAAAACAATTATGGTTGATCTGGGGTTCGGGGTTAAGAGTTACCTAAATAAGTCTTGGTCCAAAAAAATTGAAGGATGACCACAATAGGTCCATTGTGATCATCTTTGAGAAGATATGCATTCATTCTTTCGGCAAAAGCTTCCCACAAAGTGCATCTAATAGTATTTTTCCGGAAAATTAAGTAAATTGTTATGAATAACATTAAGAGATCATCACACAACGATCTATATTTTAAATACTCTAAATCTTGGACGACAATCTCCAAAAGCTTGCTTTTCTTGTCCTTGTCCTTTATATTGATCTCTTTTGTAGGGTCTTTCTCAACCACGTGGCCAATTATATCTGCAACATTAAATAACTTAGCCAGTCAACGGAAAACATACAAAATTTAATGATATAATCAATATAAAATTAGTAGACTAATATGAGTAGTTACATACCAAACAGTAAGCTCTCATCCACGTTCTGTTTCATTGTGTCAAACGTAGCAAACTGAAAATGGGTTGATGGAATCTTATCGACTGATGTTTCGATAACTTTTGTGCATCACATAAAGTTCAGTCTAAATTTATGAGTTGTTGCTCTGAAGCCACCATTTGAATCAACCACAAAGAAATTCTTTACAAATATAGCTGGTGCCTTCTTTTATCAACTCTTAATACCTACGAATGAGCATTTTTTTATGCTAGCATGAATCCGCACACCCTGAGATAAATGTCAGACGGATAGTTATGTTTTGAATACTCGAAACATAAATATATAAAAAAATAAACATAATAAAAAATATAAAAGCACATTCACCTCCCCGTCAATAAAAACCATTTCGATGCCAGCATTCTCTTTCGGATTCCACTTATGTGGTACGAACCACAGACGTATGACCCGAACCAATATTTTTCAATCAGTCTTTTTGCCCGAAACAATTTCGTGAATGAAGGACGTGCTCGTAACCATGTTTGCTATTTCTGATAAAGAACACAAAAAAATATTACAAAAAAAAATTAAATTATTATAAAGAACACAAAAAAAATATAAAAAATGGAATTAAACTATGATAAAGAACACAAAAAATATTTAAAAAAAGAAGAAGAAGGAATTAATCTAATATTTTAGAAGAATCAGACAAAGAAAGAGGAATTGTACATTAATCAGGCAAAATAATTAAAAATAAAAGAATTATATTCTGATAAACAAGACAGAAAAATGTTAAAAAAGAATTTGAATCTAAATTATCCGACGAATGGAGATGAGATGATATATAGCGCAGTAGAACGATCTCTGCCCCTATTGTTTTTAGAATGGAGAAAAATAAAAAAATTGAACAAATTAAATGTCACATAAGGTTTTTGGAAAATTCGAGATATATAAACATTAACAAACTCATCATATGCTGTTACTTCTGCGATTAATCAACAAATCACACAAAACTGAGAAAAAATGGTTGAAATTTATTGGATCGAATTAAATCCAGAAAATTTGAGATTGAAGAGATTCCAAAAATAATAAAGAGGTGGTAGGTTGATGAACAAACTTACCTGTTGACTAATGGAGTTAATTTTTGCAAGAGAAAGATATCCACAGAGAAGTGGGAAAATGATATAAATAGGTGTTTAAGAAAGACATAGGAGAGGCGGGTGTACAGAGAAGAGGTGGAGAAAGATAAGTATCGTATGGGATATGTATGCATAGTTAGATTTGGGGAGAAAAATATGAGAAAAGAAGTAGGAGAGGCGGGTAGGATTTTAGAGAGATGTAGATTTGGGGTAGAAATTTGGAGAAAGAGAACTTGACTTGAAGAAGGATATATAGATTCGGTGTGAAGAAAAGATTTGGATAATTCGGAGTATGAAGAGCCGTGAAGATGAAGTGGAGTGGGTGGAGCACAAATCGCTGTGGGATTAGTTATGTGTGGCTGGATTTGCACAGATTTTGGCGGAGTTGGTTGGGGTTGGCCGGATCCGGTGGTGGTGGTCGAATAAGGATGGTGGGTTGCCAAATTTGGGGAAGAAGAAATTGTGAGATAATGAAAGGGGGAAAAAAATCTCACACAAAAATGAAGAATATGAATATAGATGCTAGATTTGTAAAGAAGAAGAAGAAAAAAAAGAAAAGGAAAAAAGAACCGTGAAGGAGATAAAGTGCAGAGGAGAGAGATGAAAAGTGGGGGTAATGGGGAAGTAGAGGTAAAACAATAAACAACAATAAATAGTAGACACGGTAAAATTTAGAACTAATTAAATGAAAATTGAAATAATAAAATAATGAAAGTAAGAAATAAACAATAAAAGTAAAAAATAATTAAATGACAACAAATAAAAGTAAAAATTATTAAATGACAAATATAGCCATAAAATGAGCGGGAAAAAAACCCTAGGGTTTCACCAGAACAACCTTACTTTTATTAATAAGAAAAGATACGATGGACTAAGATATAATTACAAGTAGACCCATCTGATTTGAATAATTATGCTAGCTAATATAACCCATTTGGCCCATTTTTTTTTTTTCCCCTTGAAATTTCATTTATTGCCCTTAACTAAATATTGAGTATATTACATTATCATCCCCTGGGAACAAGTTTAATTACATATAGACCCCTCATGTTTCAAAAGTATTATACATACCTTCCTTTGATTTTAAATTTAACTCAAAACTAAATTAAAATTCTTTAAATAATATTTTTATTTCTATTGAAATATAATAATATATATTTTCGATACTATAAAAGAATGAGTATCCAATTTTCAAAAGGTAAAGGCGTCAATATGTTTTTTTTAAAACGAAACGAAGAAATAAATAAATAATAAGAAAAACATGGTAATATTTATAAACATAGTAATTAATATTATTGTTAAAATATGTATTTACTAAAAATAATTTAATATTTATTTCAATTACCTAATACCAAATAATAATTAAAGAAATAAACGGGCAATAAATAAAATAATTAAAGAAAGAAAATAACAAGAAAAGAGATTTACTATAACTGGGATTCTTTTTTTCAGTTAGATCTTCTTGATTCAGGTATATATATATATATATTCAACACGGATGAATACGTTGCTGCATGCTAATTGTTTCTTGAACAAGTAATTAATTAAACATGGGTGCATCAGGCAGATTAGGGTACGAATACGGCTACCGTTTCTCCGTCGACGAAGAAATTCTTCCACACTACAACTACGAATTATTCCCCGAAGAGAAAACCCTAATCCTCGAGATAAGAACTAGCTTCTCCGTCGAAACGAACGACGGCGGCGGCAGCAGTGACATCATCAACTCCGAGAGGTTCGGCAACTCCAATTTATACGACGGAAAAGTCGAAACCTACGGAGAAAACTATCTCCTCTCCGATTTACGCACGGTGGCGACTCACCGCCTCTTCGACTACGGGATGTCCGAAGACGACGTCATCAAGTTCGAAAACGAGGTTGCGGGTTTCATGCGGAATGCCGAAAACGCCCCTCGGAGCGTGGTCCCGGTGGTGGTTGACTTTGAGGTGCGGACGGTTCAGAGGGGAGACGAGGGTTACGCGGAGGTGATGGAGAGGGCAATTAGGGTTGAAAAGATGGTGCCGCTTTGTTTTTACGGGTATTATACGTGGGATTTTGAAGAGAGGGCGTACGATTTGGAACGGAGGTCGTTTATAAACAAGCATCTGACGTGGATTAGGGCTGACATCAGCGTCGACGGGGCGACAATTATGGAGAGTTGCGGTATATGTTTAAACGGAGCTGTTGTGGGGAATGAGATAAGTTTCGTGCCTTGTTGTAAATGTGCGTTTCATTCGCATTGCATCGTTCGATGGTTTATGGACGAAGATCTTTGCCCTCGCTGTAAATTCGATATGTTCGGATTTCTTGATTTTTAGTGTTTTTTAATTTTTAATTTTTTTTGGTTATGGTACAGATATCAATTATACACACGGGGTGTTAATTAAATGTTACACCCTGGTTATTTACATCGGATGGATTTGAATCGAGATTTGATTAAATAAGTATTTGAATCGAGATTTGATTAAATAAGTATTTGAATCGAGATTTGATTAAATAAGTATCTACTAAGTACACATACAATACATGTATATATAGTAAACAGTAGTTAAGCACAGGTATTTGTTCTGTAGATGTAATTTTTCGAAAAATTAATCAATTTTATTCAATCATGGATTAAAATTCAAATGTTATTTTATGTAAATTGCGCCCTAGTATGGTGAATCAAGCATCTCCCCATCGTATGCCGGAGAATTGCACAACGGGCACAAATTGTTACCCATTAACCAACGAACAATGCAATGTGAATGAAAAGCATGACCGCACGACGGGAGCACAGTTATCTGGGCCCCGATAGTCGGGGCCCGCAAACAGATACCGCAGGCCCGCATAATCTTCAAACCTTCTTCGATATCTTCAACTCTATTCCTCGGAAGTTTCGTCAGAAAACACGGAAATTTCGGGTGATCAACAGGTGGGGTCGCTAGTGGCCATAAGTATAACGGGGCCAATTTTTCTGCCCTAATCGTCCGGTCAATGACCGAGTCAACTGGTTCGCCTTCTTGTTGGACGGTTCGAACCTCGAGACTAACAAGTACCGGAATTACGAGGCGGGAGGCGTGCCGAGGGTCGTCGGCAATTTTCCGAGCAAATTCAAATGCCTCGTGGACTAATTTATTCACCTCGTCTTTAGTCATCCAATACTCATTCAGCCGGTACACCACCTTTATTTTGAGGCCGGATTCGGTGTTATGATATTCTAGTGCCCCGAATCTCTAGGAGTCCATGATTTGATCCTCACCGTCCGTTTTCTTGACGACGAAGTTAGTTCTGATCTCGAAGAGATAGGTTTTGCTTTGGGTGAACATTTCGAATTCGTACAACGAAAGCAAGTCATCTTCGATCGAGAAACGATAATAATATTCGTATCCTACTCTACCTGTAGCCATTTTTATTTTATTTTTTTCTCATAAACTCTATACAGTAGAATTATTTTAATTTATAGCATAAAAAATAGATATATATTTGAATAAGCTAATAAATATACATTTAATTTTATAGATATTAATATCTTTAGTAGTAATCAATTAATTCGTCATAAAACTTAAAACAAAAATATCACAAAATCTATAGAATTAAAGGTGAATATACTTTGTCACGTATATATATATATATATCACCTGCGCGTCACGCGCTGGTCGTCAACCTTTTTTTTTAGTTTTATTTCCAAATCAGTTTTATTTACTACCTTCAAAATCATCAAAATAAAGCCACATATATCAAAAAATAGCAGCAAAATTAGATTAAACATCCATAACGAATAAGTAGAATGAAATAAAACTACATTGAGTGTGTATTTTGCAGCTCCCGTACAATTCTGAGATTTCTATCTGTAATTAGATTCCCAATCTCCAATTTTCAAATCTCAAACAAGAAACAACGGCAACAAACACTATACTCTAGAAAATCAAAACCATAAATAAAGAGTAAATCTTAGAAATAGAAGAACGTACGCATCTCCTCCGGTGTGGAGACTCCACTCGAAGCCCTAGTCGCCAAACCTCCGCCCGCGCCGCCTTCTACCATCGCCCCATAGTCGGACCACCACCAAACACTCCGATCAGATCATGTAGAGAGGGGAAAAAAAAGAGAAAGAGATGAGAGTGGGAAGAGATGAAAAGAGAAAAAGAAAAAAAAACGGTGTAAAACATAATTAGGATTTTGAAAGAGTGAGTATATTGGACAATTAAGCACTATGGCAAACTACATTTAGCATTGATAGACCTGCATTTATCATTATTATATATATTTTTAATATAAAAATATAAATGTTTTATTTATTATTAGTTTTTATATATATCCTCTTTCGTATATTTTTATATTTTTATATATTTTTTATTTTTTTTAATTTTTAATTTTTTTAATTTCTTAATTTTTTAATTTTTAATTTTTTTAATTTTTAATTTTTTTTCAAATTTTTGATAAATTTACTGTATCGAAATTGACTATACATGACAATAGTATATTATAGTCATGTGTAGTTATATGTAGTCATATACTGTCTTTTAACCCAAAATTATGGTAAACCATTGATTATATATATATATATATATATATATATATATATATATATATATATATATATATATATATATATATATATACTTACAGCAACAAATAAATTCACAGTTTGAATCTTGTATTATAAATCAATTAATACCCAACAAAAAAAAACACAATCATCAAGATCACTATACATCAGAAAAACCGCATAACTTTATATAAGTATATATTACTATATTGAACTATACATGACTATAGTCAACTATAGTTATATGTCGTTATTTATACGACTAAATTTGACTGAAATCCCACTTTTCAACACGAGTACAACTTATTTTGAACGACGAACACAAAGTCCACTCCGCAAAAACTTACTACATAGTAATTCAAACACCAAGACCTACGAAAAAGAAAAATAGTTAAACAAACAATGATTTTTTCTTCAAATTTGAATCTACATACACTATCACTGTTGGGGCTAAATACCTAACACGCAAGTGCACGTATCGCAAACAAGTAGTAAAAGTGGACTCGTAAGAGTCGGATGTCGATCCCACATGGAATACTCAAATTATCTAATCCTAAGTACCAAATTCTAACAATTATGATTTTTATCCAGCCTACGCAAAGTTGTCAGATTTAATCAACTAAATAATTAAACTAATTATGAAAGCAAATAAACATGAGAAAATATCAATAAAAACGGACCTAGGATTTTATCTTCCCCTATGCAAGAATTGCTCACCCAAAACCCCTCAATTATGAAATATATGATTCATGATTATTAACCCGAGACACTAATTTACTCATAACCCGCTGTCGTGTGTATTACGAGTCTATTATTCATAAACAGTTCACTATATGTCTATGCAAACAAATTATGAATAAAGCATTAACTAACAAGTCTCGTAAATGGCTACCTAAGGTGATATCTGTATGCCTACGACACCACATGCAATTGACACACTCATCCGGTGAAAACTACTCGAAGGTTCTTATACTTACCGTCTAATTATCAAAATAGCTCTGTCGAGTCAATCCCAATAATCACAGATAAATCACATAAATTGATCAAGTTCATGCACTAACAATCATAACAAGTATAAAAAATAATCATAAAATCATAATTGCGTAATCTCAAGAAAACGGGTTCACCATCCCCACATAGCGTTCCAACAATATCCTACATTAAAAGCTTAGCTACTCGTAATTCTTATGATAAACAAAATAGAATAAATAAAATAAATAAGAAAAACTATGCTTGAGTCTTCGTTGATCTTCGTTCTTCGCGTTTTGGGTGTAAAATTTCGTGCTTATGGTGTAGAGACTTGTTGCTTTTATAGGCTTTTCTTGATAAGGAAGTAGTGGAAACCTAATAGGAATCAACTTCCGCCACTTTCCCCCATCAGGATTTGTTTGTCTATTTGTGCCATGTTGGAGTCCGAATTTTGGAATGTTATGTAAATAAGAATTGTAGCCCTTGAAATTAGCTTTCCAATGCCGTCACAATCACATAATTCGGAGATCGTATGAGAGAGATATGCTCGAAATGGTGGACACTGTCAAAGTTGTGGCGATATTCCTTTTTCGAATTTGATTTGTTTCATTATTTGCAACTTTTTCCTTTCTTTTTGATATTTTTTCCTTCATGGACACCTAATTCTCGGTTTTCACCTATAAAACACAAAATCAATCAATTAAAGCACAAATATAATTAAATCTAAACAAAAGATCCACGTAAAGTAAACGTATTGAGTGTAATATCTACACTCAACAATCACCTACTGACATACATACACATCACGAGCATATACTCCTCACATAACTCATACATGACTACATGTTAGTACATAGCTTATACATAACTATATATTACTACACGTGAGTATATATGACTACATGTATATGACGACATGTGACTATATATATAACTATGTGACCACAAGTGAATATATATATATATATATATATATATATATATATATATATATATATATATATATATATATATATATAATATATATATATGCTATTTGCACTTCACTCGAAGCTCCATAATTTATTCAAGAACATTCAAGACTGTATAATACGAGGATTTAAGAGCAAACAATGTCGAGAAAACGAGCAAATTGCAGCATGTTTATTGTTAAACGAAAAACCAAAATTCTACGAGGCAGCATATACATTATTATACTCAAATTATATGAACACGATTTAAAATTAAAAAAAGAAAACAAAAAAAAAAACAAAAAAAAAAAAAAAAAAAAAAAAAACAAAAAAACAAAAAGAATGCATACATATTGATTTAGGGAATGACAAAACATTTTGTACAGTATGAAATCTGCAAACTCCAGAAACAATTTGCATATCTACCCTCAAACTAAAAATTATTCAAACATTTAGTCCCTGTACACACATCAATGAAATAAAACAAAACAGAAACCCTCAATAATCCCTCACAATTCGTACACACACACACACACACACTGACACACACTCATACGCACGCACCTTCACTCGCCTCTGTACTATTCCTTCCCCCAAGTAATTGGTAATTAAAATCACCCCCACACAGAGTGCTACAAAGTGTATGTGTGAGAGAGAGAGAGAGTCTGAAGAAAGAGATGAAGCTAGATTACTACTATATCAATTTCAATTAATGACTCACAAATTAAAATAATTCAATGCTTCAGGTATCAACTTTTGTGATGTGTAAACACGCAGGCAACAGAGAATTATCCATAGCTTGAGATTTGAAATTCAAAGACAGAGAAAACAAAAGCAGCTAAAACAATTAACAAAAAATTCACACAGATTACACAAAATAATACAAACAAAACATAAAAAAATCATGAAGGGGGTTAGCTTTTCGACGGCGTTGCGGCTGCGTAGCGGATGGTGGAGAATTTGGCTTGCGCTTTTTCTTTCTCTTCATTGTCGCAGCCAGATATGGCGAGAGAGAGTAAGGCTCCGTTCGACAGGATTAAGCACTGAATGCTGAATGTTGAATAAATATCTGAATCAATAAGAGTTATATCTTAATGCTGAATGCTGAACAATTAAGTTTATTTGACAACTAAATATCAATAATTACTGAATAATATTATTTTCTTATTGTAAACGTGTGTAATGGTGAAATTATATGTATTAATTAAATTTGAGCAGTATATATAAATAAATTTAAAATCTAGAATTTGGAATATTTCATATAGAAAAGATATATTATGACAAATAATAAAATTGTAGATAAGAATTAAAAGTCCATATTATATATATAAAAGTACTATCATATCAAATATAATGGTGATAGGAGGAACAACAAATATAATAATATTAATAACTAAAATACACTGTCTGCTCATTTAATTGCTTCATATGATATTATTTTTTGTTAAAATAATAATTTATTATTGGCTTGCACAATTGATGTTGGAGAGATATGAGATAGCTGTTGAGGGCTTTTTTTTTTCTTTTCCCAAAATTCATTCAGATTCACATCTTATCGAATAAGCGGATGATTATTGGCTGAGCCAATAAGTGGCAAAATATTCAGTTCAGAGATTTAACCCAAACACATTGAATGAGATCGGAAATTGTTCATTCAGAGGCCATTCAGTGGTCATCAAACAGGATGAAGAGAGAGGGAGAAACGGCGGTGATTGAAACGTGTGTAAAGAGAAAGATTAGGGCATATATTAGATTTAAAACTAAAAGGGTAAGACGGGTACTTCAAGTTGTCTAGGGGTCTCACTAATTAAGATCAAAATTTGGGTTTTTAACTAGAGCTGAAAAATTTATTGAACCTCCTCGTATATATTTTCAAAACTAGGGGTTATCACTCATTTCCCCATAAATAAATAACAAAAGTGAAATAAAATAAATAGGAAAAAATAAAAAAATAAAATGTCTTTTTAAGGCTTCGATAAAGACTGCCTTACCCTTACTTGTCATAAAAATTACTTTTACCCGAATAGTAAAAAGAATTGACAATCAGTATTTCTTTTCCTTATCTTTTTCTTCTTGTTCAGTATAAATGGAACCATGATCAGGAAGTCAATTTAAATTAAGAATGTTACTCTAGCTATATTGAGAAATCAAATTTAGTATGGAATTTTAACAATTATTTTATAAGTGACCAAGTATCTGACTAATTAACTAATTAATTTGTATTTTTAAAATATTATATTGTGGAGTTCATAAAACTCAATCTAATCTTTTCGAGTAATACAACCTATGTAGCACGAACATGGAACATCGATACGGAGAAACGGAAAACAGGGAAATTTAGTTATCAAACATGTTTGTAATATTTCATAAATTGCAAAATGGCCCATAAGGTGTCCGAAAAACATATATACATGACAAAAGATAGAAACATATATACATGTGACGAAATAGCTAGAAATTAAAATATACACAATACCAACTTTTGAAAATAAAATTTATTCCGAAAGTCCCATGGCAGAAGTCTGCTTTCGAGTTATTGGCTTGAAAATAGGGCCGTCGTATAGTTGACAATCGAGCGCAGCAATTTTCTCTCTAGTCCAACCGTAGACGATAGTACCCCTATTCTGAATGAGTTCATAAACCGCCTCTGCGAAATTCTGATACTCCCTTACGTCCACGTCATCATCATCAATCAACCTTTTGAGCGCTTTCCGAAGAATCTCTCCCTCTTTCATCCGACCGGATACAAGAGCTGCGCAATTCCTCTCCGTCTGAATTATACCGCGAAAGTGCTCAAGATTACGCGGGGAATTGCGCTCTTTTATTGTGGATTTCATTATAGGTGACAAGACCCTATTGAAATCGTTACAAACACACGATGCTCTCCCTTTTCCTTCGAGTGACACCTTTTTGAATATCCTCAATTTCAACTCGTCGGGTATTGGCCATGTCGGATTCGCCATTGTGTGTGTATGTGTGTGTGTTATTTGATCGATTTTCAATTAGCATAGCTTCTTTTATAACTATTGTTTGAACTTTACGTGTAACGATCGAGTTTGAAATTTGGACATTGCCCTGAATTGATATTTTTGTAAGTGTTGATTTGGGTTTATTTCCACACTTCACCAAAGTGCATGCAATAGTTTTCTTTATATAACACATTTTTCATTTTTTTCGGGTAAAATCGAGGAAGGTACGTCGTGCTCGCGAAGTCTATATATATATATATATATATATATACATTTGAACTTTCGTAAGCATAAGCCAAGGCTGAAAAACAAGTTTAATTTTCTACAAAACTATACTATATATACCTAAACTTGAATTGAATTTGGACAATACCATATTTATACAGTACAACTAGCTAGCTACATTGCATTTTTATGTTATGTATATAATATTAGTGCAATTTAAGTTTCTATTAGTATAGATATTTTGACTTATGTCGGAAAGCAATTTAAGCATAAGTTTGAATTTATACATAGAACTTGAAATTGTAGAGTAACTGTTGTCCGGTGTCCCTTTTCTTTGGTTTCTTCGATCCTACACCCGGTGATAAATACTGGGTGGATCTTCTGCTGCCACGTGTTCCTTTTTTTTTATTTTTCTAAAACCCCTAAAGGTAAACCCTAGCGGGAAATTTATTATAAAATACAAAAAAGAGACACGTGGCAGCAGAAGACCCACCCGGTGTTTATCACCGGGTGTAGGGTCGAACAAATCCTTTTCTTTTGTTCTCTTTTCTCTTAATGTTCTTAGAATATGGTTAGTAGCCACTGTAATTGATATACATAAAAAATAAAGAGAGATACTTTCAACATCCGACTTTAGCTCAGTTGGTAGAGCGGAGGACTGTAGTATGATACTGAAATCCTTAGGTCGCTGGTTCGAATCCGGCAAGTCGGATTTCTTTTTTTTTTTTTAATTTTATTTTTTATTTCGTGATGGGCCTAAGTCCAAAACTGAAGGCCCAAGTCTTAACTAACCCAAAGAAATGCCTAAGTTTGGAAAATGTCCAATTCATATTTTTATTGTTGTTAGAGGTGGAAATCGAAATTAGTACTTGTAGAAGTGGAAAACTTATTCCAATTCCATTAAAAAAGATAATCGAAATCAAGATTTCAGAAATTCGAATGAAAAACTTGTTCTAAAATCGGAAAATTCAGAATCTAATATGTATTCCTATTCCATTCAAAAGAAGAAAAAAAAACCCCGTAAACCGGAACTTCCGAATTCGGAATAAAACTAGTGTTCTAGTCCGAAAACGGAAATTCTTTTCTAATTTCAACCTCCCAAAATCAAATTAATCATGACTAAATATACATTCATATTTGTTAGCATCTCACTTGAGCTTTGACGGATTTTGGCCGGCATCAAGATTCGGTGCCTTAACGAGTAACGAGCGGTATCCGTAAACCAATTTCGAAGATAAATTTAGGTCAAAATAAAATATTCTTGACCACATCACTGCACAAATATTACATACAAAAAGAGCACCTATACATCTGTAAACACAAAAGAATAACCTTCCTATTTACATACATATATATACACACACACACATATATATGTATGGACTATTTTACAAAGTTTCTTGATTGTGAGATGAATGAATGTGTATATACAGAGCAAAGAATCATATGCATAAATAATATTCATGTTCGACGAGTCAACTCTGAGTTGGAAAAGGGCTTTCGTATTTCATTTCCTGCAATTCCGGAAATCGAAATATCAAACCTTAATTGCACGAAATTAACATTTAAACAAAAAAAAAAAAAAACGAGCAAAACCTGATCGCAGATGGGGCAAGTGTCGCTTCTTTCCATCCACTCGAGTATGCACGAAAGGTGAAAGTGATGGTTACACTTGGTTGTGATCTTAGGATTCTCCGAATCATACTCTAAATATTGAAAAACCAAATAATTTAAATAAACCGATTTTTATTTTTATTTTTTATTTTTAAATCACTAATATATGAAATTCGTTCACCTTCGAGACAAGTGGGACAAACATCCTCTTCATCTGTTACTGAAACAGTTAACGAATTCGATTTCATAAGTTCGAATAGCTGCACCTTCTTCGGGCTATCCAATTTAGTGGATGGTGCATGCTCTTCTGAAACCGGTGGGTACTAAAGAACACGAATTAATATTAAAATAAATTGCGCAAAAAAAAAAACTTCGACTTACTCAATAATAAATATTATATAATTACATAAACAATTGAAGAAAAAAAAGAGAAACTACTAACATAATAGTACACTGGTGTTTGGGGAAGCGGCAGATTTTCGGAAGAAGAACAACAACCTCCCATTTTCGCCAAGTCTTAATTTTACGAAGTCACGTTTCTGCATTCCGAAATAAAACTAGTGTTGGAAAATCACAAGCATTGAAAAAAATTTATGCAAAATCAAACAAGGAAAAAATCGAGAACTTGTATAGAAAAGAAGCTGCACTTACACAAAAAGACTACACGTCAAAGCTATTGAGTAGATAATTAATCTGAGATAATTGTAAAAAAAAATAGGGTAAATTACGACCACTCTGAAGTAAGGTCAAATTATGAAAATAATCCCTCATGTTTGGATAATTACAGCCACCCCCTCAACTATAAATCTTCTTACAAGTCCATCCATACGGTGTCCAATTTAGTGGAATCTTCTAGATTATGCGAATTTTTCTCAAGTTTGTACCCGTTTTACTCCATTCGAACACCACATTTTGAAACAAGATGATCATATAAAATGTGTTTCTGGGCTTGTAAATATCAGATTGTGTTGCATCACAAACAGCATTTTTGCACAAGAAATATTCCACGGAATCTAGAAGATTCTGTTGAATTTGACTATTGCAGAAGGGGGCTAGAATTTCACTACTCAGACATAAAAAGAAAAAAAAACATTGCAGAAGAAACTTAGGCTGAATTACATAACTCTGCAAGTATTAACCAAGCACAAAACGACAAAAGATAAACAAAGAAAGCACAAACAGAAATATAATTCAAAATTTGCTTAACCACAATCTTGCAACAGAGTACAGAAATCAAAAAGTTGAATTAAGAAGAACAGAAGCATATATAAATAAATAAATATGTGCAAATTAATAAGAAAACTTTTTTACCTGAGATTCCAAGCTTAACTAGGGCATATGATATGAGTGGAAGAAGTTAGAAGGGCTGATTCTTGAAATTGTGCAAGTAAAGGGGCTTCTGGGCAAAAAAAAATCAGAGGTTCCTGAGTGGAAAAGAGGGCCTTGAGATTCTGTAGAAAGTCAAGAATGGAGAAGAATCAGATTGGCACGCAAAGAACGATGAACTTCAAAATAGTATTTAATTATAATTAATAAATGAAAATATCTCTATAATTAAAATTAATAAAAGAAAATATTTTTATAATTATGATTAACAAAAGAAAATATTTGTACAATAAAAAATTAATTGAATAATGGCTTCGCCCGGGCTCGAACCGGAGACCTTCAGTGTGTTAGACTGACGTGATAACCAACTACACCACGAAACCTTTGTGATAGTCTGGTACGTTGTCTTTGTATAGATTTTATTCTGATTCGCAGATTGGTCCAACTCGTAATTCACTTCTGTTTAATTTTAATTTGACAGATTGTATTATGATTATTTTTTTTCCGCCACGAAAATAAAATCTTACTATAGTACTAACATTTTACATATTGTATGATGGACAATTTTAGTGTTAATAATTATATTTTGAAAGAAATTCTAAATTATTTTGACATTTATTTTTGTTACGCCTATATATATGAAATCACATCGACATTGCAATGGAACTCGAAACGTGGTCTCTACGACCGTTACGGAAAATCCGTTTATGATAATAAACTTGACAAGGTACTTTATGGAAAAAAAAACACTAAACACGTTCACAAAAAGCCATAAATCTGCTTATTTTATATACATAGCCAATTGATCAAGTGAAAATGCACAAATTAAACAACTTCAAAGTACATAATTTATTTATTTTACTTCTTTTGCATCAATGTAATCAAATCACCAAGTGAAGCTAATGGATTCATAATGCAGATTATCTGCCAGCTCAGCTGAGCATATAGCTGCCACGTCACGCCTCATCGTCTTCGGTCCGCTTACAAGTACTCCAACGCTCCTTTCTTCGATCCCCGAAAGAATTCCTACACCAAAATCCCAATTCAAAATTTCTTCATATCACAAATTAAATAACAAAAATAAAAAAAAAAAAGTTTAAATTACTCACTCTTGAGATCAGGCCTTTGACCATATTGCACATTGACCGATTTAATAACCGATCGAATGGGAAGGCTTTCGAGTTCCACATCATCCGATATTTTAGCCGTGGAATATTCCTCCGTATTATCTTGAATTTGCTTGCTATCTTCATCGGCAATATTCTTTTTCTTGTTCCATAGAAACGCACCGCTAGCTGCAACAACTATCGAGAAGCACACGAGGAACATGTTCATCGAAGCTTTCTTTGTGTACGAGTACCCCACTTTGCCTTTCTTATCGACCGGATAAACGACGTATTGCGTAAAAATTCCCAATAGCAAAAGAAAAATAACAAAAGACGAGGAAATTATTGCACCGAGCCATAGCCAACTGTTGGGGCCTAACGTGGGATATATAGGCAAATCGGACGCGTTTGGCTTGAAAAACACGTTTCGTGTGGAGCTTATTTTTTCTTTCGGTTGCCCTCTTTCTCTTGTCACGTAAGCCTCGATTTGTAGGTCAAAGTTATCGGGGTGGTTATTGTTATTAATTGAGGTGGAATTTGGGAGGATTAGGTCTAATATGGAGAGGTGCGACGAGTTCTTGAATACACTAATGAGTGCGATTTTCGGGGTTTTGGATTTTAGGGTTGAGCTTACGAATATAAGTTCTTTGATTATCGAAATAAATGGGGTGATCCCACTTCCTCCACTAATCATCACCACCATATCATGCCTAAAAAAACGAAAAAATAAAATTTAAAAAAGTGTCGCACCGTATGAAGTTGATTCGAAAATATAGGGTATATATGTTGAATATTATTTGATTTAAACGAACCTGAGAAAATTTGTTGAGGTGGGTCCGTACGGACCTTCGACTGATACTTGAAGACGATCGACGGATGGTGAGATGACGAGTTGGTGAAGATTCTTAGTCCAAATGCCTTCGCATTTGATTATAACACTTAGAATCTCTGGTTCTATGTTGTTGTTTGAAGTTATAGTGAAAGGATGCCACTGCAGCTTGGAAATGGCGGGAATATTTACGAAGATGGTGCTCGTTGGATTGTAATCTAGACCTGCCATATTTAGGTTATTCAAAATTAAAAAAAAAAAATTATATTTTTTTCAAAAGAAAAGAATTGATTAAGATTTTGATTGCAAAGTTGTTGAAATGTAAAATTCCCTTTTAATTTCGGAAGGTTCGGGGTTTTGGAAACTTTGAAATTTCGGAATTTTCGAAAATCATAATTTTTCGGTAGTATTTGAAATTATTTTTGGACATTGAGATCGAATATTAATAAATAAATATAGTATGCATAATATAAAATATATATTTAATAAAATTAATATCGTAAATATGTATTTTTAAATCACAATTTACAGAATTAATTTCAAAATCGATTTGTTGATTTTAAATAATAATTTGCAGAATTACTTTTAAAAATAAAAAACTATCGGGAACAAAATAAATTAGAAACATACAATTCTAATTTCAAAAACTAGAATTGAAATTCAAAAATCAACATAAAAATGTTTGATTTGGAAATCTACGTACAAAAATCATTGAAATTCAAAAATTCCGGTCCGATCTCCACTCCTAATAACTTATTATCAATACAATTTTATCAACGTGCATATTAATTTGATTTGGCAATATTGTGATACACAAAGATGTATATACGAACGTACCTCGAGTCTTGGAGAAGTTGAGCTGAATAGTTTCACACGGTAGAACTCGAGCAGAAACTAAACGAACTCTCTGACGAGATTGCAAGAACCTCAAATATCGATCGATAACGAAGAGATAAAAACCGGGGAGCATAATGCACGCAAAACCAATGCCGACATGCCATATGAAGAAGACGATGAAGAAAACGTAGAGATAGTGAGTATAGAGAAATAGCTCAAACATATTCCTTCTTATTGTAGGGTAAGTTGTAACCCACATAGCCAATCCACATAGCAACGAGATTTCTCCGGCTATGTTTGATACATAATGGTCGTACCATTTCAACGTCTGCGTTAAATCCGTAAAATTAAATAAGTAAATAATAATAATAATAATAATAATAATAATAATAATATAAATTTCGATATACATGGAACTAAAATAGTGTTCGATAAATTAGTTAAATTTGTAAATTATGTGTAATTAACTGATATTTAATTTTATTTTCCTAATAACTCGTGCGCCGGTTGCCCGGTTGGGTCGACCCGACCCGACCTATCGAAGAAATATTTTTGGTTAAATAATGATAAAGGTTATAGCCCATTTATAAAACGGCCAAAAGGAAATCGATACGGGTCAGGAGCCAACAAGTTCCGCTTTTATCCAACTATTGGGGTGCAAATTGCTATAATCTATTTGAGCAAGGACTAAAAAGTAAATATAGTCACTAGTGTTGAAAGATAATAATGAAAGAAGATGACGCTAGGATTACGTCACCATGACATAAACTTTGTTTGAACTAATTACATTTTTTTAATCAGAAAATCATTTTAAAGTTAATTTTACACATTTATATAATTTTTAGGGTAGCGTTCGGAAAATCCAATTTTTTCCATTCCAAGGATCAGAAAGCGACGGGTTTCCAAATTTCAATCTCATATACCGAGATTAACACAGTCATACATATTTTACATACATCTACACATAACATATAATTATACGTAAATTTACGATAATATGCAACCGATTGAGTACAAGACTCATTTTCGGACTAAAGTCACACTCCACATAAGTATACAATTGTAGCATCGAAATAATTGTGGTTCACATATACAAAATATTTGAAAATATGTTGTTTATCAAACCAAATTGATTCTTGACCACGTTCTTTATGGTCCCAATTAAAGTATGATGGGAAAAGGACTAATTGGCAATAACAAAAAGTTTTTGTCGAAATTGACAATCCCAAATAGCAAACAAAGGAGAAGACAATATTGGCAGGACTTTTGTGGGGTTCTCCACTAACTTGTAAAATTATCATTAAAATTGTGAAATTTTTCAATGTCACATTTCACTTCCTAAACTAGTGGGGATTTAAAGAATATCGGGTGAATTTCAACTGTAGATCTAATTAAATAATCAACCACCAAATACACATACTTCATATGCATGTTGTACATCTGCACTTGAAATCTACACAGTATAAATAAACAACCAACCAGATGTATCACCTAATTATCACTAAACTAGTGGAGTGTCACATAAATTGTTTATAAACTAATATCACATAACTACATACATATAAGTTATAATAATTTAAGAAAATCCATTAAAAATATGGATGGAATCAAAAAAAATTAAAAATTGTCTTTTTCGATTTCTTTCCATTTTATTTTTTTCAGAACGGAATTGAAATTATTATTTCGCTTAAAATAATATTAAACTTTATTCGAAAGTGCTAGTTCCGACGCGCGGAACTACACCTCATACTCCATTTAAATCATTGAAACCAAAGCACAATGAACCAAAAGAATGATGGGACATAGGCACAAAGAACATGATATATAGTGTTATTCATAATTGACTTAACTACTTGTCCTTCCCAAATAAATCAATAATATATACTTAGGTTAATTATGACATATGGTCCAATAATTAAAAAAAAAACATATGAATTATAATTACCTGAGATAATCTGCTGGTTATGGTCCAATAAACCAGGTAGAGAAATCCATGAACAGTAAATAGTGCCATGGAAATATTACCAAGCCAAATATGGTATTTGATGCTTTTCTCTGAAGTTAACCCTATCATGGGTAAAATTGATGAACCTCTTGTTACTGGATAGAACAGAAATGTTAAGCACAAATTCCCAGTTACCCCTGCCACTAGTGCCACTCTATCCAACTTGCTTTGCCACCTGTACATGTTGTGAGAGAGAGAGAGAGAGAGAGAGAGAGAGAGAGAGAGAGAGAGAGAGAGAGAGAGAGAGAGAGAGAGAGAGAGAGAGAGAGAGAGAGAGAGAGAGAGAACAAATAACAAAAAAATGGGGTAATTTTTTTTTTACCGAATTGAACAACGAAGGAGCTGTAGTCAACCATCTCTAAAATAAATCATCTTTTGAGTGACTGATAATTATTTTCAAATAATTAGCCAAAAAACATTATCATTAGTTCTAGATTAAAATGTGATTATTAGTTCATTATGGCAATAATAAAAGGGATTAAGTGACAACAAAGTGAGCTATTAGTGACAACATACAACGTATCGTTATTTGTTAGTGACATTTTTTTTAATTGTCGCAATTAGAGTATCACTAGTCATATTTTCGTATACATATAGGTGCATTGTGTAAACTTTAGCTCGTTGCAAATTAGATCGAGCCATGACATATGTAATTTCAAGATTGTATCTAGTGGATTTTCTTGAACATTAAAAAAAAAAAAAAAGGATGTGTGTGTGTATATGCTTACACTTTGTCATGTTTTGTGGAAGAGAGAAATGGGACTTGCTC